TCGCTTGTGTTCAGTTTACGATTATAGTAATATGCTCAGTAGATTTTTGTAATGTATGGGATAATATATTTAAGTTTCCTATCGTTTGATCGAGTTCACAAGCAGACATTTCTTGTGTTGTTTCAGTTCATAGTACATATAGGCAACTCACCATCTGCGTTTAAAACCGCCAAGCAGAAGCGCATGAGCTCGCGTTGCAGAGATGCAGGTAATTTGAAATAAGTCAGAAAACAGCAGATCAAAAATATCAATACCAGATACCGTCCCAAAATACCAGATTTGTGAAATCTGGTATGAAATGACACCAGTTGACAATGTTTCGAATAAGGAACTTTCTCTAAATGCGTACAGACTAAAATATCCTTTTGCGTTACAGCAATTATACGATCAATTATATAACATACTCGTGTAACCGAAGGAGGAACGAGCTAATTCGACGATTTTCAGTCGCAACCGACCCGTAACTACTGAACACAACGTGTGAAATCAGCGTATTAGAAAATGATTGTATCCCTAACTGAAGTATTCTTACATAATGCCTTGAAACATCAAATCATATCAAGTACCTTACACGTTTACGCATGTTTGCACAAAAATTTCCGCTCATACACTTCATTTATAATTCCAGAAAAATATTATTTAGGATAATATTTCTTTTGTGATAATGTTGATTTACGGGGGATAACATATAAATGCGAGAACTCGGAATTGTGCCATGAGGTTTCCACGTAGTTGTGCTGTCAGCTACGAACTAATCATCAAGTTCGAACATGTTTAAAAATTATGATTTATGATACGCAATTATCATGTTGCACGAAACTTGTAAAATCCTGTTCATTTAATAAAAAATACAAGACGTTTCTGTTAATCTAGCTGAATTTGGTCCCTAAGATACTAGATTTCCTCTAGTTAATAAACAATTCTGCAGCGATCACTGACAAATTTAATGAAATTATACAGCATATTTAAACGGAGTTTAGGCGCACTGGGAAAGTGTTTAAGTTGGTATTCACGTAAGGACGCTGGAAATATTGTTGGCATATTGTCCTGAGAGCGCCTTTGATGTCTCGGCACTCGTCGCGCGTGAAGCAATTTGGTGCACGACCATAAATCGGCCACCATGAAGGAGGCTTTAAGCGAAACAGGTACGTTCTCATTCGTCAAAAGATTAGTGTTCATTAACAAGCTTTGAAGTTGTAGAGATAATTTGTCCAGCCCGTCGTAGAACTGTATTAAAGTAGAACGCAGCAAGCCCACAATTACTGCTTGATGGTTTGCTGGGTTATCCGCAGCCTTACTTTGACGTATAGACTGTTGACTTTAATTGGTAATTATGATGTTGCTCTTTATATGGAATTGCCTCCGTTTTAAACGAAAGCTGCTAAGGATGCACGACGGTTTCGAGTAAAAAAAAACATTTACTTCCTGATTACGCTACAATTTGAAATCATGGAAACGAAAAATTGCCCATTTATTATATGTGTTAGACGTGATAAGGCTAATGGCGCGGTGCGTCCCTGCGAGGTCGGACTCGTGCCAAACACCTGCTTATTGCCTATTGTGTCGGGTTTGGCTTGATTATCTTCTATTGACTATGATTGCGTTTTTCAGTCCATCCTCGTATTATCAAACATATTATAGCAGAATTTTCCCCTTCACGCTAGATCACAGATCAGGACTCGCAACTCACTGTTTCAAATTTTCTTTGCTTAACCTTGCCGATTTTGACCAGAAACTGATGCACAGGGCTGGGATCGAGAATCCGCACCTCTCTGTTCCAGTCTTCGTACTCTGATGTTTAGTCACTGGACCACCCTGCTCGTCACATATGCAAAACGTCCGCAATATCATATATATCAATAAAATCGCATGAACGACTTCACTGGTAGAATGGGAGCAGAGCGAAAGGACGGAGTTGTGCTTTACCGTTCAATCAACGATTTTGTTCATGCTGCACGATGACAGGACATTTCAAACTGAACCGTTGTTGAAATGTAATGTTTAAGCATTTTGGAATAAACTCTGCCAAACTGAATATATAGAAATGAATACATAAATTATGTATATATTCTGAAAATTGTTCATCATAGTATATATTGTTGTTCGCAGTGGTTAAAGTGTTGTGTTGTGTTGGCCCAGTGGTTAAAGTTCAGAGTACCTAGATTGGCGCAGAGAGGCGCGGGTTCGATCCCATGCAGCTCTGTGCGCCAGTTTCTGGTCAGAATCGGCAAGGAGGCCGGGCGGTTAAGCATAGCAGAATTGTAGCAGTGAGTTGCGAGTTCGAGACCGCAAAATGCTGTGAATGTTCTGCGATGTTAAGAATCGGCGACAGGCCTACGGACTAATAACGCTGAAACCACTATATTATTATATATATTATTATATAAACATCATGTTTTTTATCTTTTTATCTATAATAAACATCATGTGTTTATCATCCTGAACATCCAGGGTTATACCATGTCAAGGTAGATGTTTTTATACGTAAAAAAAAAATATTTCGATGGGTGGACGTAAAAGTTGGTTGAACTATATATACTAGTTCAACCATGGACGTAAAATATTTCATCACTTTCATATAATTAACTCCTATTCAAATTACGGAAAGAGATGATTTTCCGCAGAATTCGATTGATGCATTTTTCGCCACGCCTAGTTTACTACTGGGATTATATTTTACTTCCACATCTATTTATTTTTATTATATTATAATGCATGTTGCCACAATCTTGCATGTGATGATGCGATCATTGTTCTTACTAGCTTGTGTAATTTCGCAAGTTACCATTCAAATTATTGATGCAATTATGCACGTTTTAGCACTTTAGCAGCCAGCACTCAGCAGCAGGTAGAACTTGCAAATAATTGTAGCAATTGCATCATTTGCATGGGCTTGCAAGTTGCATGTTACGTTTAAAATTTAAATCAACTTGTCTCATTTATTTCTTGAAGGTTCATTCCTTTAAAGCATGGCCCAAAATTTCCAAACTTTGAGTACCTGTTATGAGGCTGTTAGTCTGTTACTTTATTTGATCTGTGAGACTGTGAGAGACTGAGAGCGTTCTTAACCCTTTAGCAATAGCGGGCAAGTTCCCTACCGCATATATGATCACTTGAAATGCCTCACAAAATGCTCCAGTACTAGCTCCACCACGGCTTCCTGTTTGTTTTTGAGGTGTCCTTATAATGCTTCAGTTAATCACTAATTATCTGACTACGAGTCTACGGCGGGCTACGGTATCATTCCATGATCCATCATCCATCCATGATGATCCATAGGCCCCCAATTGCCCCCCATCACCTGCACTGTCCAAGTGTCCATAAATTAAAATATGAGCATTTAAATGAAGGTTTTGCCTTGGACAATGGAATTGATGCTCTTTCCACATTTTTTAAATGGTGGAAATAACAATATATATTTAATTATTTCATGTGGGCTAACTTGATTAAATTTAATTAAATTAAATAGTTATTTTACTAATTTTTCATTTGCATAAACTAAATTTAAATTATAAAGAAAAATTTTGTGTACTGCCCACTTTACATGAATTCTTTAAATGCCATTCAAGCCTTCAATGGGCAAAATTTTTAAAAATGCGTACAAATAACTATTTTGTATAATACCTCTTAGTGATCTTACTTTCTTGAAATGATTTCTGGATATTTCAATGCTTGCCCGCTAAAAGGTTAATAATAATAATAATGGCTTTGGCTTTAGGCCATAGGCCTATCACGACTTGCCAATTTGCCATGTCAGGCCGTAGGCCTGTCACCAATTCTTAACATCGCAAAACATTAACAGCTTGTTGCAGTCTTGAACTCGCAACTCACTGCGACAATTCTGCTGTGGAAACTGGCAGCTGTGCTTAACTGCCCAGCCTCCTTGCCGATTCTGACCAGAAACTTGCAAAGCTGGGATCAAACCCGCGCCTCTCTGAGCCAATCTTGGTAAATGGAACTTTAACCACTGGGCCACCTTGGGCTCTTTTTGCTTCTGCTTGGGGCTGGGTTTTTTTTTGTCTGTTGTCTCCAAGTGGACCCCAACCCCAAGTCCACCCAGGTCTCGTACAGTGGCAATAGCATCAGAATCTTGACAACTTTTGCTGAAGTTATTGACCAATTTTTTAGACTTTACAATGACTGGCAAGCTAAAATAATAGGTCATTTATCTTTTTCAATGACTGCCAACTAGTGAGACTTATCCATGATAAACTTATGGGCTGCACTCTGCAGGACAGCTATAGGGTCTGGGAAGCTGAAAATCTGTCTGTATTATAACTAGCATAAGCCTAAACTAAAGCTTGCTCAGAAGTTCAAGTCCATATCTTGATCTGTAAGGAAACTGTTGCAGTCTAAATATTGGTCAAAATTTGTTGCGTTGAGTCACAACAAATTTTAAGGTACAATTTGAGTTGACTTGTTTGGCTGAATTTTGTATCAGTAATGTTGAAAGTAATTTTGTCAGAATGAGCACAAAAAACTGTACATGATCTCATTGTACTAGCCATTTTTATATATTACTTTCAATTTTATTAGACCTCAAAAATGGCATTTTGTTTAACGTTGCACCCATGCAGACTGACTAGCCTTGAGACAAGGAGGTCTATATCAGCAACTATTGCAGCTAGAGGCCTAATATTTTGGAAAACTTAGTTTAGCACTTCACTAGTGCTACAGTTAAAATTTGAAGAAAATTGGAGACCATAATGGTGGAAACGTTTTTCAATTTTAGACCACTGGCATGGAATGACCCAGATGCTTATGCAGGCTGCAGCTATGCTTTGGGTGGCCTTCACACACACTTTTTAAATAAAAACAGACACTTTTAAGTTCTAACCACATCTGAGTTCTTTCAATGCTCAAGTTCACTCTTGGCCTCTTGAGTCTTGCCTTTCAGTTTAAGGTAACCTACAGTATAAATTCTGAAACCTAAAAAGGAAATTCTAACAGTGTTATTATTGTTGATTTAATTTACACTTAACTGTTGTTTATTTTCTCTGTAGGCTTTGGAAAAAATGCAACTTGTCATGTGATAAATTTTGCATAAAGTTGTTATGTCTTATATACGTAATACATAGTTTTTTATGCTGGTGATGAATTCTCTCACACTGGAGCTTTTGGAAGTCTGAAATCTAGAGCAATGGCCAAGCAACTTGACCCATCAGTTTGCAAGTAAGTTAATGTACACTGTGATTTTGATTAACTTTTTGATGAATAAGGATTACTGTTGTGAAGAAATTTCAACTATATTTTGACTAATTTGTAATTTAAATCAATGCGCAGCTTGAGATATCAGAAATATTTAAGCTGGTAATTTTTATTAGGGCTTTGTCAATATGATGTTTGAAATATGCTAATGAAAATCCTGAATAGGTATATATAATTGTAGATAAAATAAATGCAACCATGTAAATATAAAAGCCACAGAGATCTTAATGTGTAATTTTCATTACTCCAACTCATGATAAGTGCAAAGTAGAATCATCAATACATGTAACTTCTAATTTTGTCAGCAATACATATGTTGAATAATTTCATGCTACTAAGCTAGCAATTTTTGCCATGACTAATTCAATTTTTATCATTTTATATAGAATTTGAATAAAGTGCATTGCATTATGTAATCTTGAAACAATATTCCTCAGTGTAACTGTTGCTGCTGGAGCTACTGTATGCTTGGAAGGCGACTTCATTGGCGAAATCACTATTGGAGCTAGGACTGTTGTTCATCCTAAGGTAATTACCTCATGATGCTGTAACTACAGTACTACCTGTAGAAAAATTTGCTTGAAATATCGAATTACTACTCTTCACTCAAAATTTATTCTTATTCAGCTAATGTTATTTAACTTACATTTAAATCAAATTACGTACAAATGGAAGATTGAGGGATTCAGTTCCAAAGTATGTCCAGAATATCTCTTGCTTCCTGTGTACCTGTATGATCTTTTATATACATTTTTTGGAATTAGAGCAATGATTAATTTCTTGTTTGTGAAGGTATTGCTTATTGTATTATTTTTTCTAGTGGGTGTATTGAGGACATTTCACAAGACAAAGTATTGACCTAGTTAACTTTACATTGCAGGCTCGTATTATTGCAGAAGCTGGACCCATCATTATAGGTGAAGGGAACCTGATTGAAGAGCAAGCACAAATAATTAACAGGTGAATAGCTACTTCTATGCTTGTTGCTGATGTGGTCTGTCAATTTTAACCAAATTTATCCTGTTATGATTCGTTTTTCATACTTTTTCAAATTAAATGAAAATCTTGTAAAATCAGTTATCATTCTCTGCTAACACATTTTCAGTAAGGTAATAGAATTTAAAAAGTGTTCAAGAATGTTTTGCACGTTTATTCACAATGATCTTTTTATGTTACACAGACGTCCTGAAGGGAGTGATGATTCCATTCAACGTACGCTCAACATAGGCCACAACAACGTGTTTGAAGTTGACTGTCTGGTTGAAGCAGAAAGCATTGGTGACAACAACGTTTTTGAAGCCAAGTCTCGCGTGGGTCGCGGCGTCACAGTTAGTCGAGGCTGTGTTGTTGGGTCACTCTGCACCCTCACCTGCCCTCAGGTTTGATAGTGGGAATTTTTCAATGTTTCAATTCATCATTGTGATAATTTATACTTAACTCGTCCAAGTGTCTGTTCTGAACTAAATTTCGCTGGAAAATATTGTAGTTCAAAATGCCTTGTAAGCTATGAAAAAATTGGTGAAAATAGATATTGAAAGTATATATTCTTGCTCATGAGAAAAATCATCATAAAACGCATTTGAACATACTATTAAGATAATTCCTAACACACAAACATTACTAAAGACTTATTTTGCCACTTTAACTTTTAGTGCGTCGTGTATCTGTCAATGCCTATTAATTATAAAATTATTTAAATGTTCTTCAATGGTTGGAGTTTCTTACTGCAATAAAAACATGAATATTGATGAACGAAACGTCGGGCAGGTGCTGGCAGAAAACAGTGTTGTGTATGGGTCAGACCATCTCCGCCGACATCAGCATGAGCGTCCCGTGGTAAGTAACAATCGAATTAATTATAATCTGTTTGTGACATTACTCTTCTCGTCAACATTAGCATTACGTAATTTGATGTTTATGTTTTGGCAAATCATTGTCATTATTATCCTCTCGTGCATACGGTATATATGACTTCCCAGCTGCACAAATACTTAGCCAATCATTAGTCCAAAACATTGCTAAAATACTTGTAGTCTGGTGGCCTTATCTAGAAGGAAGGAACATATTACCATGCATGATGAAGTCTGGTTTATTCCTGAAAGCGATCATGGTAGGTGCCTCAGCAATCTGCTGACAGACCGTTCCACTAATTGATTACATGATGCAAAAAGAAATGCTGTCTCTTGATTAGTACTATTACGCATGGTTTCCTTTTTGAACCTATAGTCATGAACTTTTTAATAAATATTTAAGTTAAGAAATAAGGGGAAAATAAGTTTTTCTAGCATATAAATGATTCATTATTGCTGAATTTTTTTTTAGAATTTTAATAATTCTACTTCGGAAATATCTGTATTAATTAATGTTGAAAAAGAAACTAATATTCACTTCAGCAGTAAAAAAAAATCTGAGCACTTTCACTGATTTTTCTCGCATTTAATTTTCATGTAATAAGCATGAAGGTCATTCACGTCACAATATATTTGCAACCTGTTTCTGCAAAGAAATATAAGGGAAAACAAAAACCTTGCGGCCAAATGGTGGCACCTCATACATAGTTTTAACTGCCCATCAACTCTATGGATACGAGTACGATCTTCTGTATGACGAAAAATTTATTACAGGTGCAGGCCTTGCAGCTCGAGTTTCTCAACAAGGTGCTGCCAAATTTCCATTACCTGGTCAAGCCTAAGAAAAAATCTGCTCCTGCTGCTGCAGTCCCGAGCTCGTGATATCTTTCATTTACTTGCATTATTAATCCATTAACTTTATCAGATTTTATTATTTCTTGTACGAGTATTTATTCGTCGCCAATCAGTCACACTTAGTCGGCTTGGTACAATATGTAATTTTAAAAGTTACGCCACCGCAGTAAATCTGCACGAGAGCTCCGCAAAGTATGGACAGTTAAATTCAATTCACTACCGACACCTTCGTTTCGGTCTACTGATATTGCTACTTGATTGACGTTGTGCTTTTACATCATCAGTATCAAGTAATTATTATTTTTACTCTGCACTTTGGAAGCTTTTGGTTGTGGGCAATATCCGCTTACAGGGCTGAAGCATTGAGAGCCTGTTAATGTCCTTATATCCGAAGCTGCTTAAAACATTTATTTTTTGAGGATTATGTGAAAAATTTTTTATCCATTAATGCTTCGATGTTTAAATTTGTGAGGCTTGCAAAAAAGCCAGGAAATAATTTTTTCTACGCAAAAAAAGCGGTAGCCTCGTTTAAAAAACGATAGACACGCTTGTCAATTAATTGGTATTCATCGTGATTATGCACTCTCAACGATCATCCATGCGAATTTTTCAAAATTTTGCACCTAGTTTCGCATAATAAAATTAAAACTATTACACATGTAATTACTTTACGGTTACTTACATATACTGTAAATGAAAGGTAATTACGCAATGCTTGACTATGAGAAGAGTGCGTGAACAATGGTTCTCACAGTGAACAATAGGAAATTGCGTGAACAATTGCAATAAACCGTAAGCATAACAGCAGCAGTTTGAATAAATAATATTGGCAAAATTGCTTATGTAACAAATCGCTAATACAATCATTACAGCTATGGCGATAGAACGTCAACTTGCGACACTACTGCTCATGTATGATAATTCTAACAATCCTCAAAATTAGAATATATCGTATTTTTTCTTCTCTCGGCGAGAGTTTTGCTCTGACGACACCCGAGCTTGAGCTCGATTGGTCAATTCAAGCTCTTGTTTCTTCTCGTCTATTCTCTTCTGGATGCTGCCAGCTGCCTCCTTATCACGAGGAGCTTGTCTGGCCATCGACTGAGACAGATGAACAATTTCGCGCTCCAGCTGTGCAGACCTCTGACCGAGCTGATACCTGAACGCCAGTAGAAGTTTTAGCTTAATAGAAAATTACGCACTTGATAATGTATTCATCATAAAAAATCCTCTTAAAATCCCGAATTTTTAATCATTCCATTTTCGAATAAGAATATATTCACAAAACGTCTAAAAGTCCTTAAACATTCAATGCCGTGGTAGTTTGTTAGATTTTTTATTAAACTTATAGTTGATATTGTGCCGTTACAAATTATTCAGCGTACAGATTACTTGCATAAATTGAACGATTTAAAATTAAATATGCACCGAATATTTTTGTCTCTTACCCTTTCAAGTTTAGCTCTTTGCTGGAGTTTGTTTTGAGGTGTGATTTATCGACGTTCACCGAATCTTTACTGGCCTTCATACGATCTTTCTTGGCGCCAGGCCCTACACCAAAAGTATTGGGTTAATGCAAAATTGGTTATCGTTTTTTGATGAACGTATCAAAGCGGCGTTGTATTTCACGTTTAAAGTAATGTTGAAGTATTCTTTCAATTAAATATATCTATGTAAGAGCAAGCAATGTTGCCAGCATTATTGTAAAAAAATGTCTACCGGCAAGTTGATTGTTGATGATGTCGAAGACCGATGTGTTCGCAGATATCCTCTCTTCCTCTCGCTTTATTCTCTTCTCCTCTCTAAGTTGATCTTTCTTGAGTCTTTTTTCGACCTGAAGAAGATCTTCTCCGCCGCTTTTTTCACGCAGTTCCATGCATCGATCTTCGCAAAAAAAAAAATCATTATTGGAACACAGATTGATTCCTAGTAAACGAACATCGAATGATCGCACTGAATTCATGTAATGTTTAAAAACATTCTGAGTTGAAAAACATGGCTCTGTTTTTAAAAAATAGGTCATGTTCTTGCACAAGAGTGACGAAAATACCTGAATATTTTTTTTCATGATTGCTCAACACGACATTTATGTGGGACAACAAAATCGGTTTAAAGGCTGGTGTCAAAGTTACCCATTAGGTAGTATGTGAAGATTGCAGCATTGGACAGCCTAAAGGTTAACAGAAGCTCGCGCACGAGCTAAAAAGGGCCTGGATGAAGAGAAAGCTCATTTGAAGAATCTAAAAAATTTACTTGATTTAATTTCTAAAACAATTATGGAATTGTAGATACTCAACTATTCTTCTCATTGGCACATCTCTTGTTTAAATATGATGATGAAATCTACTCAACCGGCTTATAATTTGCCCATACCGGGACTTACCCAGCGATACTCCAGGGGGATAGAGATACGCGGGCACAGGCTCCACTCTGCCCTCTTGTCGTCGCCCGAGTCCTGCTCCGGCCACGTACCCCATTAGGGACATGAGGCGGGATCCAATGCCCTTTATATGCAATAAATCTAACATTACAACATAGAATTCAGGTACGACAATTAAAAAAAATTACTTTCAGATCGCTAATAGGCCATTTGAATCTATACGCCGTAACATGGGATATATATAATAATAGAAAATGAGTTGTAATAACTGATCAGAACTGATTATTTTTTGATCAATATTTTTTCAAGTTCATGGTTCGAAATTTGTAATCATTTTGCAGAGAAATAGTTGTAGTGACGAATATTGAGAAACAAGCCACTGCAGCAATAAATTGAAACAGCGTCTCACTTTGGTGTGCTTCTCCCACTCTCCAAGAGCAGAAACAGCAGTTGGGTTCAGAAGCCATTCACTAGGTGGTTCATCATCAGTAAATGTCTCCGACAGAAGATCACCTTTCTCGAATGACGTCGAGCTGTTGCCTGGTTCAATTGGAATGGCATTCGAAGGCTGCAGAGCAATTAATGTAGATTTAAAAATTATCCTTTTGTATTCAAATTGATGAACATATTTGAAAGTCAGAGCAAGAATGTAAAATTTATTAGCATTGGTATCGATTCCACAGAAATTAACAACCTAAAATAAATACAAAATGACAATTCAAGAAAAAAAAATTGGTAGTAGGGTTTTCAAACAGAGGTTTCCACGGAATTATTGAAACTTTGGAAGTGTTGACACGATATTAGTGAACTACAGCTCCCCTTAAAAGTACACTAGACTGAAACAAATCTAGTTACAGGAAAGGTGAAAAAATTGTTTTGTTCAATGCAACATCCTGCACGCTGACCACTCACCGAGAGCTGCAGTGATTGAGACTCGCTGGGCAGGGGCACTATCTTATCCAGGGCACACTCAACCACAGAACTGCATGGAGTGCACTGCACACTCACTACCTCATCTGCCTGGTCATGAAGTTGGAAATTATTACATAACATAGCTAATGACTGATATTTTATTTGTGAAGGATTGTCAGATTGTTGCAGTTGCTACATGATGCAAGATTGCTTTTGCGCTAGGTTTTACACAATTTTTTAGCAGTTGCATGCGATAAGAGTTGAGCATTCAGATCCATCATATGTAGCATAAATGTAATTACCTGCAACATTTATGCAATACACCTTGAATAAATCAAAGCAAGATTTCTCAATCCTGAAAAATAATTGCCTTTATTCCATAAAATATCATTGTCCTAGAGACAAATCATCTGAAACTACTGACGTGCAAAATGGCATCCACAACACCAGGATGCCACAGTGGAATGATGGAGTCCGCACTTGATGACAATGCGTGACGACACAGCACTTTGCTTCCCACTTCCAGGGATGATGTGTCAGGAAACCTGGCAATGTGAGAAATACACCAACAATACATTCAGTTAGAATTATTCATATTTAACAAAACGACAATAGGAATGATAACCTTAGTCCTAATTACACTTCAAGCTTCAGTTAAAACTTGAAATTTGGACATACTGATGATATAGTGATGTGACTTGTGTCACTTCACCATACATTCTCTTCACTCACCTGTGTTTCTTTCTTACCAGACTTGTGGATGCAAATCATTCAATGTGAAATAGGTCTTTTGAGCTCTTCATTTAGATATTTAACGCAATTTTACAAAGTAACTGTAGATTTAAAATTTTCCATGTTTATTGTGCAAGTGCAGATGTGCTTTATTTGATGACATAGCAAATGGCCAACTTTAGATAGCAGTTGAGGTATTGATTTTCTTGCATGACCTTGCCTACACCCTTGTACTAGTGTAATGACAGAGCAATTGTAAATGCTTTTGGCCAAATGGCCTTTTTGGTTTAGTGTGTAGGACTTGCAATTTACTATTTGCTACATCTTATGAAGGCTGAGTTCCCTCACAGTTGTAAGGGATTTTTACAGTATTTTGTATAGCAGATGCCATCTGCTTGCTTCACTTACTGCTTTCATACCATGATAACCTTACTAACCCCATTTCATGCTGCGCAGGCTGAGAGTATCTGTGATTTGTCTATTTGTATGCTGACACCATTGTTCCACAATATATTTTCCTCAGCAGTGCTTAGGTGGTTTCATTAGCCTTATCTGCCAGCATTGTCCACGGCTGTACCATCCACCTCTTTAATTTCAATTTTGAACTTACCAGGACCGTCGCCTCCTTTACAATGATTTCAGCAAATTTTTAAGCTAAAGCCAAATAGAAAAACAAGCAAGGATTTTCGTCATACAAGAGTTTAGAAATACCACACTGTCTTGTTAGACCTATGATACACTTAACTCACATGTATGGTCTGAGAAGGTGCACTGCAACCAAGCTCCCATGGCTGTATTGACATGCATCGTTGAAACGGCAAACACCAGACATGAAGTAGCGACATGGTAGCATTGCTCTGCTAGTTGGCTGACTGAACAACACCACTACCTAGATTCAATAATAAAAAATGATAATGCATTTTATATAGATCAATAATTTGGATGTGAAGCACGATGATATGATCATAAAATTGTATTAGCATTTGATTTGAAACTTTTATCATATTACCTTTCACTTATTCTGAAGCATGATCAAGAGTTTATCTATAAAGCAGAAGTTTATAATTATGTGCTATATCACTTTATTCAATAAATTTCTTTTGCATTAACTCTCACTCCTTTCAAGATTTAACAATTTTATTTTAGTCCAATTTTGCCAAACAGCCAAATCTTTCCATTGAATCAATCAGTTGAATATAAGTTTTTGTAATGATTCAACTTTACTAGAGCTTACCTCTGGATAATCTAGGTTAAGTTCTCCAGTATCTGGATTTCCAATGCTCATTACAACAGCATTGTGGTAAGTGTGTCCACCCCATTCTTCAGTATATGGTGCACACACAGCAGCACCTTCTAATTTATTCACCTCTTCTGTGGTCCATGCTTTAGTAAAACCTTTGTAATCTGATAAATTTCTACTTAATAGAGAATAAACAGAATCTTTTGAATCAATTTCTTCAAGCTCGTAAGTTGAACCACCAGAAAGGTTTCTTGATGAATCCTCATTAGAAGATTCATCACTAACTTCATTTGCACTAGTATGGGTGTTTTCATTTGAGTCTGATGGTTTAGGATCCAATTGCTCTATCTCCGTCTGCAAAACAAAAAAAGGAGAGGTTATAAGAAAAATTGATGGTCCAAAAAAATATAAAAATTACTAAACTACAGTACGTACTATATCAAATTATTAATATATATATTTTATTATTTTATGAACCCACTAGTTTCTAGTTTGACAATTGGTAGAAAGTAATTAATTATTTTTGTTTTATTATTTCAAAATTTAAGAAAATTTATCATGCATATTTATAATAGATAGATTCTACCTTAAAAAGTGCCAATTCTTCTTCTATTCTTATTTCTTCTTCAGTTTTTGTATGATTGTTGCTACCAGCAGGAGGCTGTTGCACTGAGTCTGATGCGGAAGATTTGAGTGCCTGCAACTGATCCAACTCCAACTCCAGCAACTGTATGAGGTTTTGTTGCAGCTGCTCTAGTTGCTGCCGGTCACTTGCTTCAAGACAACTTGCTTGCAGAGCTAAGCTCACTTGTTCAAGCTGGAAGAAGAGTATTTAATGGAAACAAATATTTAAATTTGAGTAAATTTTGACTATCCAGCTTATCTAAATAAGTCCAGAGTAAATTGTTATTCAAATTTTTATATATAATTACTAACTAAAATTATTTTAACTGTTACAAAAATATATATCATTAATTATTTGACCAAAATTTGCAAATTTCCTTGTCTTTAAACATGAAAACAGATTTTCTAAATGTGAATACATTGGAATGAGAAATGAATACAATAGTGGTTCATTATTGTATTCATTTCTCATTACAGCTATGGCAATGTGTTCAATCAATGAGAAGGTTCAATCAAGGTTCAGCCCTCAATTCTAAATCTTAATACAATAATGAACCACTGAAATGACATAATTTTGGATCACTTTCTGGCCATTATTGAAAATTTGGTATGAACTACCCACCCATGAGACAAAAATGCCAAAATTTGTGGCTAATTTCATCCATTTTTATACCTTTTTGGCTCTTGTCTAATTTCTTTCATTAACCTCAAAAAACAGCACATTCTTGCCTACAATTTAAAAAACTTACTCTGAAATGATTTTTATTATAAGCAATTAATGGAACATTCTGCCTGATTTTTCAGTGTGGTTTCTTAAGTGTAACTATGAATCTATGATAGAAATAAAAAAAGTCTAGTAATTCTTGTTTTCCTCTAATAGCATTGATACCGGTATTTAAATTATAATTTAAAATTTTTTGGTAAATAAGTGATATACGTACATGAATACATTTGATAATTAATTTTAAAAATTATATAATTATGGCACAAACCTAATGCAGTACTCTCTTTTAAGGGGACCGGCTACCCTAAAAATCGGAAATTTTGACTTTTCCATTCTCTTGACTCATTTTGTAGCTGCTGAAAAAGCGCGTCTAACGCAGTTTACCGCATATCTGTGCGTGCTATAGTTTTTGTGTAAGACAATTTTAAAAATATATAAAATGAACATTTTTTAACATTATGTACAAAGACTTATTTGAATTAAATCTGTATATATAGATCATTACTTTCGTTAATTAATAAGTGTTTGCATTCGTTTGAAAGCTACAAACGAGACGCGTTCAACAAAGCTACTACGTACCATAGATGTACATGCAATATTTTTTTGTGTAATGCAGTCTTAAACTTTTATAAAATGATCATTTTATACCATAATTTACTAATAAATGGTATTTAAATGTAATTATTTAGGTTAATTGCGAAGTGTTTGCACTCGTTTGAAAGCTACAAACAAGACGCGTTCAACAAAGCTACTACCATTGATGTACATGCAATAGTTTTTGCTTAATGCACTTGTAAAGTTATGTAAAATGAATATTTCATATATATATTTATAGTATACAAAAAGTCCAATTTATAGCTTATTATTCACGTTAAATTTGACATAAATAGGCCTTAAGAGGCGTGCTGGTACCCCGAATGCAAATAATTGGCAATGGGAAAGCTTGGGCTACAATATCAAGACTTTTTTGGGTATATTCTTCTGTTTTCAATGAATTTTACTTTATTTGGCTCTCCTGAACAATTTAAATTTTCGTTTTTTGTCTTTTTGAAAACCTATCTCCTCCTACAGTTTTCAAGCTACAGCAATGAGACATATACCATTCGATTCGTAAAGACCATACCTTTCGAACTGATCATTTTTTTAAATTTCTGTCTGGTTTGTTTTTTATATGGGGGAAAAGGGGGGGTAAGGGGAAAATGATAAAAATTATCATCAAATCTATAGGTATGGTCCTTTCGAACCGAATGATACATGTCTCGATGTTGTAGGATGATATTTGTAGGAGGAGATAGATTTTCTAAAGTAGGTACCCCCTTTTTAGCCGTTTTCTATGAATTTCATGTTTTCTATCAATTTTTTCGAAAAATTCATGCAAGCAAAATGTTATTTTTTTTACATTTTATGTATGTATGTGAAGTTTCATGATGATCGGTAATAACTGTAGAAGTTTTTCTGGAGGGTAGCTGGTCCCCTTAATAGCATCAAACGGGGTAATAAAGGATGGGCGGGGTAAATCGGAATGTAGTCGTCCCACATTTTGTAGAAATGTTGTTTCAGCTAAACTAATCAAAATATTGTGAACTAAAAAAAATTGGCATAAAGGTCAAAATTTTTACTATCTATGTGGCATAAAATAAGTTGAGAAATCATTCATTCACTACTTGTAAAAATCCCCGAAAAAAAGTGTGAAAAGTGAGATTTTGAAAATGTACTTCTGCTAAGGTCTGTAGCAAAAAAAAATATTTGCTGTATCAAAAATTTAACTTTTATAAAAGTTGCACACAGGTGTTGGCTTGAAAACGTGATCAACAGAATTTGCACATCTGATTCCATAAAAAAAGTGGCAGCCATTTCTGCAGGGACCCCCCCACTGGGGTAATAAGGGACACCTCTAAAAATGTATTTACAGTACAACCTTGATTAGCAGAGGCTCTAGTTGATGAAAAAGTCAATCAACAACAGAAAATTTTTATTTTATTTACCTCACACAGCAAAAAAAATTCATAGATATAGTTGTGCACTGGGCAACATAAAATGAAAAGTAATTAACCTAAACTATGATTCATCCCTCCCAAAAATATGATGGTTGTCACTTGAATATTCCTTTCTGGTTTAAGTAGTTTTTACAATCTTTTTTTTTGTTATAGTGAATTCACTTGACCCAATTAAAATGGTGAAAAATTACAAGCTGTCCTGTAAGCTAACAGATACAGTCATACAGAAGAGTGCTACCGGTATATGGCTGCTGATATGAAGCTTGCAGTGGACAAGCCTACAAGGTCATTGTAAATGTTCAATGGCATTTCCATCAACCATGGATATGGTAATATCATATCAATAAAGGAAGAACAAGTGAAAATCACAGAAAATGTCATTTATTCTACATTTACATCATCTACAAAGGAAAAAGATGACATCCAATTACTGTTAGTAGACAAGTACACTCTGCATGCTTCAAAGTTCAAATGTTTTAAAATTAAGTTTTATTTCAAGTGTCCCAGATTACCCCATTCCCAGGGGTTATTCGGGATGCAATTTGCATCTGGCACCTTACAAATAGCATATGAAATTTTTTGAAGATACCATACAATAGCCCTCGCAATGAGCTATAAAATGAGCCCAAACATATTTATGAAATGTTTCATGGCAAGAAGTTATCAACAAAAAATGCTCAAAGCCCTCAGCCTGTCCCTTATTACCCCCCTTTGAAAGTATGCTATAAACATTTTGGCATAATAAAAAACATGTTTTTCATTAGTGCATGCCCAGACAGCAAGTGAAATTAAATAATTTAACAAGCTACATTAGCATAATGATGATTAGTGATTACCATTATCAATATGATTATATCGGCATTACCTGATCATTGTAGAGTTGAATAGTATCCACAGTATTTTTATCTGCCATTGCATCAGATGATCAGCATCACCAGATCACTTCACACAAGATTGACAATAAGTGACTTTTAATATGAAAGAATAAAATATTTTGATTTATTATCATGCCTGGACCTGGATAGGCAGGATAGTATGGCTCTCAGCCCTCACTAATAGTCTAACAGTGCATCAGTGACCACTGACCAGTCACCTGTCGCTGTCCTGTCACCAGTCACGGTTCAGGGTTCACCAAGGTCCTGTCCGTGTCCAGGCTGTAAAGTAGGGCCTTTCAGCTTGAGATATTGGCATCTTTTCAAGCTCTCCATCAGCCACCTTGACCTCAAATTGGCGTCCATGGCCGATCATAAACTATGGCTCGGGCAGCCATTACTGATCATAAACATAGATTGCTTGATCAGCCCAGCCATCACCGCACGCATCTTCAGCTTGTTTGATTGCTTGTATCTGTCACCCGATCAAAATGTGCATACGTCTGGCACGCCTAATGCTACTGCTGAAAAAACTTATCAATCTATTGTGTTCCAACACAATCCATTGTGTTCTAACGCGATCTATTGTGTTCTAACGCAATCTATTGTGTTCTAACATGAACTATTTTGTTCGAACGTGATCTATTGCGTTCTAACGCGATCTATTGTGATCTAGCACAATCTATTACATTCTAATGTGATCTAGAGTGTTTTAGCATAATCTATTGTGTTCTAACGCGATCTATTGTGTTCTAACGTGATCTATTGTGTTCTAACGTGATCTATTGTGTTCTAACGCAATCTATTGTGTTCTAATTAAAGGCCTCCCACACTCACCATTCCAACAAGAAGGAATTAATTTTATTAATTAAAAACAGGGAATGGTTTCATGTCAATGATCAGGGCCCCGACCTTAACGCCTCTGATGGTGGCCTACACCGACTCCAAGGGTCACTGAGCTGTGTCGCGAGCGAGGAGCGGGCCCACGTCAAACTTTTTTCTGGCTGCTGTTAGGATGCTAGCTGCATTGCCTCTCTGCACAGCCAAACCCAACCTTTGCTCCAACCATAGTCTCTCTACGTTTGCCGGACAATTCCGTAATGCGACGGCCAATCTGTGATATTAAAGGACCAGTCGTTTCACCATATGTGCCTGTCGTTTCTAATGAGACTGGCTCGAAACAATACCAAGCTGCCAACGCCATGTATTTAGTCTCTTGCTATCCTTCGCTGCACGAGCCGCGAACCCAGCAGAAATAGCCGAATTATTGACATGCAACTCAGCAAAAGTGTCGACGCAGGTTGCATCCCAGCACAAACACCTCCCATTAGAAAATGGGAAAACCGTTAAGCCATCTGGTCTCTTACCATCCCCTCTGTCCACTCCAACGGGTTCAAGGCATGAAGGAACGCCAGCGCTCTGATGAGCCCTCCTGATCACATCGTTCAGAGCCGAGTGTCTTGGATGTTGCCCAGCGCTGTACTTACAAGAAAGGCCATGCAGTCCTCGTGCATCCATCCGCTTTCCGCACCGACAAGTGTGGGGTTTGCATACATATGCGCCAACTCGAAGAGCGATTGAGACGCGGAAGGAGTCGGGATCTAGAAGTGTTCCAAGAGCATCCGAAGGAATAGCGTGAAGCCACAAGCCACTCTCTCTCTTCACCACTGCAAGTAGATAAGCCCTGGATATTTGGTCCGCCGCTTCCAAAAGCCGCGCTGCAGAGGCCATGGCCACAGGCCCATCCTCTGCCGGCCCCAACTCGCGTCCTCAGGCAAAGCAATACCTGCGTTCCCATTGCGCCACTCATCCACCACTATCTGCAAACTGTCGTCCTCGGCCAGTCGTACATTATGTAAAACAGCATCAACTAGGCCACGGACGGAGTGGAGTGACAATATGAATGCAGGGAGCGCGATGTCCTTTGACATACGGATACCCAGACCTCCCAGCCAGACCGGTAACACAGCTTGTTCAAGAGATTTGCAGTTGAAGCTATCTTTTGTATTTTAACGTGATCTATTGCCTTCTAACGCAATCTATTGCATTATAACCATTCTATTGCGTTCTAACGCAATCTATTGCGTTCTAACGCAATCTATTGCATTCTAACACGATCTATTGTGTTCTAACACAATCTATTGCGTTTTAATGCAATCTATTGCACTCTGAAGCAATTTACTGTAACCCAAGGCTATCAAATGTAACCCAAGGCAATCTAATGTAGCCTAAGGCAATCTAATGTAACCTAATGCAATCTAATTCAATCTAATATAACCTAATACAATCTAATGAATTCAAATTCAAACTGACACTTTCTACTGCAATCTAAAGCATTCTAATGCAATCTTATGTAACCTAATGCAATGTAATGCAATCTTAGGTAACCTAATGCAATGGAATGCAATCTAATGTAACCTAATGCAATGTAATGCAACCTAATGTAACCTAATGAAATCTAATGTACCCTAATTTGATTTAATGCATTCTAATGCATTGCAATGAAATCTGGTGCAATCAAATAAAATCTCAATGCATTCTTACACATTCTAATTCAGTCTATTTAATTTTACTGAATTAGGTTGGCTTGAATTGCCGCTGGAATGATTTGATTAGGGTTGAATTTGGTTGGGTTGAATGGAGTTGGGTGTTATTGAATTGGGTTGAATCAAGTTTGAACAGTTAAATTGGTTTTGGTTGAATATGGTGTAATTGGGTTGAGTTTAATTGAATTTTGGTTGAAATAAGTTAGATGGGGCTGAATTTGGTTGGATTGAATTGGTTTTGGTTGGATTGGATTGAATTGGGTTGGGTTGACTTGGTTTTGGTTAGATTGGGTTGGGTTAAATATGGTTGGTATGAATTGGGTTGGGTTGCATTGGGAAGGGTTGAGTTTATTTGATTTGGGATCAATTGGGTTAGGTTGAATTGGTTTTGGTTGAATTGGGTTGGGTTTGGTTAGATCGGGTTGGGTTAAATTTGGTTAGGATTAATTAGGTTGGGTTGCATTGGGAAGGATTGGGTTGATTTGAATTGGGATCAATTGGGTTGGGTTGAATTAACTTGGGTTGAATTGGTTAGGATTGCATTGGGTTGGGTGTGGCTGAATTGGATTGGGTTGGGTTGGGTTGGGCTTGGTTGCATTGGGTTGGGTTCAGTTAGATTGGGTTGGGTTCAGTTAGATTGGGATGGGTTCAGTTAGATTAGGTTGTTTGTATTTGGTTGGGATGAATTGGGTTGGCTTGGTTCAGGTGACTAGACTAATGATGTAGTCGGTTTATTTAAAATGATTTATCACAAGCTGCTTTGTTATCCATTGTCAGTGCCGTGAGGCTCTCTCAACGCAAGCACTCAAATACATGCACTTTGAACCATCGGAACTGCACGCTACATCAAGTAATTCTGGTGGCTCTGAGCATGAATGCTTGGGTGCTTAAATATACACTCTTACAGCAATCAGAACTGTGTGCTGCAGCACATAGTTCAGGTGGCTATGAGCGTGTATGCTAGGGTGCTCAAATGGATCTCTCACAGCCAGGAACTGCGCGCTACAGCGCATAGTTCATGTGGTTGTTAGGGTGTATGCTCAGAGGTGGGCAGTAGCGCGCTACATGTAGCGGCCGCTACTAGCGGCCGCTACATTTTTAGTAGCAGTAGCGGCTCTACATTTAAGGCAATGTAGCGGTAGCAGTAGCGCCCGCTACATATTTAAGTAGCGATACGAGGTTTTGCCGCTACAGCGCTACCGCTACATTTATAGATAAAGCCTTTTATAAATACCATTTATTTGTAAATAATGATATAAAATGATCATTTTTTAAAAGTTCAAGACTGCATTACACAAAAAAGTATTGCATGTACATCTATGGTAGTAGCTTTGTTGAACGCGTCTCGTTTGTAGCTTTCAAACGAGTGCAAACATTTTGTAATTAACGAGAGTAATGATCTATATATACAGATTTAATTCAAATAAGTCTTTGTACATATTGTTAAAAAATGTTCATATTTATATTTTAAAAGTTGTCTTACGCAAAAATTATAGCACGCACAGACATGCGGTAAACTGCATTAGACGCGCCTTTTCAGCAGCTACAAAATGAGTAAAGAAAACAGTAAAGCCAAAATTTCCGATTTTTAGGGTAGCCGGTTCCCTTAATAGTATTAAATATTATTTAAAAACCAGCATGATACATACATAATATAAATTACAGAATAAAACGGTATGAAAGATTTCGGTGTAATGTTGTCAACCTCAGCCTGTTACTAGTGTCAACATGTTACTTGTTACTTGTTAAGTTGTTACCAGTTACCACTTACAGGTTTTTTCATCATTCAGTTTGCTTACAGTTATTTTTACACAGTTATTTTTATGTTTCACCTTCCCTACATGGATGTCTATTTTAATCTACCAATCTCAAAAATAATCCAATTATTTATACAAAAAAGACTGATTTTTATATGTATATGTGGATAATTTCTTAGATTGGTAGATTAAAGTTCACATCCATGTAGGGAAGGTAAAACATAAAAATAACTGTAACTTCTATTTACTGTATCTAACCCTGGGGAACCCATACTAGTTCGGTTAGGTTAATTGCAACAAAGTTGCATTGATATGTTTTAAAAATGTTTTATTATCATTAAATGTTGAATGAGTAAATCCCAATAGCAGAACAATAAATATTTAGAGATTTCCAATAATTTTGGCCATTGTAGCGGCTAATGTAGCGCGCTACATTTTACTGTAGCGGTAGCGCCCGTTACAATCTAGTGGGTGTAGCAGTAGCGCCCGCTACATTTAGAGCATGTAGCGGTAGCGGTAGCGCCGCTACATTTCCAAGTAGCGCTGCCCAGCTCTGTGTATGCTTGGGTGCTCAAATGTAGCTCTCACAGACATCGGAACTGCACGCTACAGCGTGTAGTTCAGGTGGCCCGTGGCTATGAATATGTATGCTTGGGTGTTCAAATGTGGCTCTCACAGCTGCCGGAACTGCGTTCTACAGCGCGTAGTTCAGGTGGCTGTGAGCGCCTATAATTGGGTGCTCAAATGCAGCTCTCACAGCCATCAGAACTGCACGCTACAGTGCATAGTTCAAGTGGCTGTGAGTGCTTATAATTGGGTGCTCAAATGTAGCTCGCACAGCCATAGTGGCAAACCAGAGCTTTTTTAGAATCAGTTCATTTTTAATTTCTTTATTTATTCAAGATTTAAACCAATTTCTTAAGTATGATAATGCTGGTATCCATTATACTTTACTGGCCTACTTATAGGACTCAAAAATTAACTTGAGGGAGAGTCTTAAATACTCTCTGCTTTGCCACTA